CCTTTAACCACATATACAGGGGCTTTCAAAAAGTTTGTGGAAAATAAGAATGAAAAGATACTGCAAAATTTCCACCAGTTTTTTGAAGTCCACTTGCATGCCATATTGGTACAAAAATAATGTTACACATTTTTTTGTGTGCAAATCACACAACCCCTTTGTATATGCATTATTTACAGGGACAGGTTTTATGCAAAAAGTAAGGCATAATTAAAAAAGTGAAATAAAATGGGCAGGGGACCTGGTAGGGTTGAGAACACTGAACTTTGTTATTGTCAGATGCTGTCAGTTGGTTCCGACTCATAGCGACTGTATGTACGAAAGAGGGAAGCCTCCCCTGGTCCTAGGCCATCCTCCCAGTTGTGCTATGTGTGAGCCCATTGTTGCAGCCACGGTGCCAGTCCATCTTGTGGAGGGTCTTCCTCTTTTTTGTTGCCCTTTCACTTTACAAGAGTGATATCCTTTTCCAGGGACTGATCTCTCCTGATCACATGTCCAAAGCACAGGAAACAAAGTCTCTCCATCCTGGCTGCTAAGGAACATTCTGGTTGTACATTTTGCAAGACAGAGTTGTCATAACTTTCACTCACCCTCACTCACTGCCATCCAGTCGCCGTCGACTCTGATTCAGAGCCACCTGAGAGGACAGATGTGGGGGTAGCCAGCCCCCCACAACTAATGATGGGTTTAGTAAGCGCAATTGTACGGTTGAGATATATAAAGATTATACTAAAGTCATAGAGAATGAGAGAGATAGGAGAGAGAGTAAAACAATGGAGTCAGACACATTTCATGGTCGCACGCTCACGTCTTGGATGACCATGATCTCAACAGCCAGGTCTGAGCACAACATGGACCAAGAAGGCAGGGGAGAGAGCCGGAGAGAGTGATTTATTGTTAACCAAGACATATATCTTTAGGGGTGTGTATGCCTCCTAATTACAGGTAAAGACATATGTCACAGGTAAGGGTTGTACAATAGGCAATACAAGCAATAGGAGGGGGATATACAATGAGCATAAGCGTAGCAGGAAGAGGATGAGCTAGGGGTGTACACATGATAGGAAGGGGGGGCACTAGAGGTATACATGTGGCAAGATGGGCGGGCTCTAGATTCATGATGGCAGCCTAATCTTGGTCACCGTTGGGCTCTTCCTGGGCTCTCCTACAGGGAAACAATCTACTACTATCCTTATTAGAAGGGAGTGGGCTCTACTTAGGGTGAATCAGACTATACAGTCTGATTGCTCTAGATGGCTGATACCCTTAGGGAGAATAACCTCTGACCTACTTTCCTTGACCTCCAAGTGTAGTCATTTGCCATGTGTTGCAGGCAGCTAGGTTTGCATATATTTGGGGAAGAAAACTTGGGAGAAATCTTTCTGTTTCCCACAGACAGAGGAGAAGTGGCTCTGTGGGGTTCCCATGGTAACGTTTACTGGAGTAAAAAGCCTCATCTTTCTCCTGATTTGCCACTGCTGGCCTTGTGGTTCACAGCCAAGCACATCACCACTGTGCACCAGGGCTCCCAGTTTGAGGACACAGCAAATGCCTTTAGACAACTGTGGCTTCAGCGCTTCTTTGCCACTTTTGTATCCTATCTGCTTTCAGTTTGGAGTCGATGGGGATTTCCCCTCCTTTATTTCAGCTCGGCGGTGATTTAATATGAAAATAGCAGTCTGGTGGTTGCAGACTTAGGTTTGGGCCTTCAGTTTTAGTGATAACCTTAAAACTCCCCGAACCAAATTATGATGGAAAAGTACCCCCAGAACAGAAAGAACTAGCTAGATCACCCTGTCAGAGAAAACCAGCCTCCCACAACCGAAGGGCCAGAAGGCACAAATGTACGGTGATAACATATAAAGATTATAGATAGTAAAATCATAGAGCAGTGGTTCTCAACCTGTGGGTCGTGACCCCTTTGGGGGGCGTCAAACGACCCTTTCACAGTGGTTGCCCGATTCATAACAGTAGCAAAATGACAGTGATGAAGTAGCAACAAAAATAATTTTATGGTTGGGAGGTCACCACAACATGAGGAACTGTATTAAAGGGTCATGGCATTGGGAAGTTGAGAACCACTGTTATAGAGGATAGGAGATAGGAGAGAGAATAAAATAAAGGAGTCGGACACGTTTTTATGGTAGCATGCTCACCTCAGCTCCTCTTGATGGTCCACAGGGAACTGGGAGAAGTGAGAGAAGCCTTTATGATCTTGGGACATTTATAGGTAACCTTAAGACACGCATATTCAGTAGTTACATGCATCACAAGGTGGGTGGTATCTATATGAAGGTCCCTGAGCTCATAGGTGAGGAAACCTAATACCTGCATTGGGGGAAGGTACATTACTCAATTTGTTCCTGACTTGATCATTAGGAGTTGGTTGATTCCTGTGTTTGTTCTTTTTAACTTTTTATTATGAATTGGGTGAAGGCGTACAGAGCAAATTTATTTTCCACCCAACCATTCATTTCATTTCATGTCATTGATTGCAACTTCCACAATATAACATTACTTATCCCACTTCCTCCCTGTGTTTCCTGTTGCCATTCCTCTTTCCTAACCCTCTGAATGTCCTTAGGTAAATGCTGCCCTTTTGTCTCAAGTGGTTGATTATTCTAGGGAGCATATGCCTCCCTCATGTTATTGTTCCCATATAGACAAGTCTATCGTTTAGCTGAAAATTAGCTATGAGAGTGAGTTCAGTTCCAGGCTTGAAGACTGACTAATGGCCTAGGCTTGGGTCGGGGGTGGGGGTAGGGGTCACCCAGTCTCTATGCTACTCACAAGCCCGATTTTTAAAAAATGATTTTGTTTTGTTCCACATTTTCCTCCTACTCTACCCACCACCATCTAATGTGAACCTTCAGAACAACTGGAAATGGTAGCCAGCCTCTCTCTGGTTCTTCGGGCCTTAAGGTCATGGAGACATTCACACGGTCCATGGGACTAATTGCTCCCACACACCTTTGATTTCCTTCACTTTTCTGTGCTCTGGACAAGGAGAAACCAATAGTTGCACCTTAAATGGTCCCTCACAAGCTTTTAAGACCCAGGTCACCACCCACTGAAATTGGCTCCGATGTTGTCTTAGTAAACCTATTCTCTTATGAGCTATTTCTTACTTTTTAGCACTGCATGACAGACTCCTATTTCTCCTGACTCCTAGACTCAAACTTTTAAAAGTGGGAACAGCCATCATGAGTTCAAACTTAGAGGTTTAAAATTTTTATGTTCTCTACATGTGAAGTCTGTCCCTTTATTGGCCTTTGCTAATTCTTTATATTTGGTCCCATCCAAATGAACTTGCTGAAAGCCAAGAGGCCTTTGAACACTTACTGATGAATATCAAAGAATACAGCCTTCAGTATGGATTACAAGTCAATGTAAAGAAAACAAAAATCTTCACAACTGGACCAAGAGACAACATCATGATAAACAGAAAAGATTGAAAGCTGTCACGGATTTCATTTTACTTCGTTCCACAATCAATGCTTGTGGAAGTAGCAGCGAAGCAATCAAAAGGCATCTTGCAGTGGGCAAATCTGCTGCACCAGACCTCTTTAACTTGTCAGAGAGCACGGATGTCCCTCTGCGGACTCAGGTGCGCCTGACCTAAGCCCTGGCGTTTTCAATCACCTCATTTGCACTTGGACGTCGGACACTGAATAGGAAGGCTGAAGAAGAATCGATGCCTTTGAATTGCGGTGCTGCTGAAGAATATTGAAATGACCATGAAATGCTCAGAACAAGCAAGTCTGTCTTGGAGGACGTATAGGCTAATTCTCCTGGGAAGTGAGGACGCGGAGATGTCGTCTCAAGTCCCTGGTACATGTTATCAGGTGAGACCAGACCCTGGAAAAGGAAATCAGGCTGACAGGATCAGCGAGGTGAATTGACACAATGCTGCAACAACGGGGGCTCACACCTAACAATTGTGAGGATGGCCCAGGATGGGCAATGTTTCTTTTGCTTCCTTTGAGTTGGAACTGACGAAAAGGCACCTCAGGACAACAAAAGTGACCTTGGACAAGCCCTTTCTCCTTTGGAGTTTTAATTAGTTCACAGTTAAACAAGAGAGTGGACAAACATACCTGTGCGCGCGCGCGTGTGTGTGTGTGTGTGTGCGCATTCGCACACATGTTGATCGGTGCTGTCGAGTTGGTTTGGAGTCATAGCAGCGCTATGGATGTAGACCAGGAGGAAACAGCTTGGTCGGCACCATCCTCACAATTGTTCTTCCGTTTGATTCCACTGTTGCAGCCACTGCCTCAATCCATCTCGTGGCTTCCTCCTTTTCGCTCCCCCCCACTTCGCCAGGCATGATGTCCTTACACATATACATACATAATAAACATACTGAGGGCTTCAAATAGCTCTTTAAAAGATACTTTAAAAATTCCACAAAAGCCCCAAGTTTGTTAATACATTTTATTATTATTATTATTTTTGGCAAGGAAACCTGGAGTTACTCTTCCACACCCCCCTACCTTCACCCCCACTCCCAGCCTTGACTGTGATGCTATCCCGGGAAATTTGAGGCTGCGATACCAGTCCACAGAGGAAGGAGCAATAGACGTGCGCGGGCGTGGGGAGAACCAGAGATGCAGCCGAGTGGCTGTTGGGGCCGGGCCAGGGCTGGCCGAGCAGGCGATGTGGTCAGACAAGCAGAGACAGGTCCTACGCTATGGCTGGGACCGGGGGAAAGGGGGCGGTGCGACTACTCGGCGGGGGGCGGGGCCTCTAGGGGAGCCCGGCCCAGGGGGCGGGTCCCACCCGGCGGGTCCCACCCCTTCCGGACCAACCGCCAATCCAAACGGCCGGGGCCCGCAAGCCCCGCCCAGTCCGGGCCTCCCGCGCCTGCTCACCGCTCCGGAGGGTCCGGCGGGCGGTCTTCTTCTTGTGGCCCCTGCACGCGTGTCCTTGGGCCTGGCTCGCGCCGCCGCAGTCGCTCTGCCTGGGCGCCAGCCGTTTCCCGGGGCTTTGGTGTCGACGTGGAGGGCCTGCTCCGCGCTCCCCGCGGGATCGCCCGACGCCCAGCGCTGCTCCGAGAGAGACCCAGGAGCCCGGTCCCGCGCAGGTGAGCGGGCGATGGGAGACGATTGAAAATGGGACAGGTTCAGCCGCAGCATCTGGGCTTAGGGGATCCGGGCTTAGGGGAATGTTGAGTCCCAACCATCCGGTCTCCTGGGATCTTAAACAGAGCCCGAGGATTTGGGGCAGTTGTATTTTTATTTTCTCCCTGGAAGCCAGCCGTACGTAACCTTAGAGCTAGCATTTTAGAACGAGGGGGAGGGACCGGGAAAGTCCTTCTCAGACAGGGGCCCCGTGGACAACAGCAGTTGCGCCCTGGGGAGACCCCTCCAACTAGACAGGGTCCGTGGACAGCGGAAAGAGCCATGAATTGGGACTCTGGACCTTGGACCTGGACCCAGGATTGATTGGCTGCTGACTTCGTGACCTGTCCATTCCCTCCCTCTGTTTGCCAGAGGTTTCCCCTGGGGGACAAAGAGGGGTGTTGGGCTCTCCACAAGCCCTTTAAACGCAAACATGGGTGTGTGGTATACACCGAGCTCCCAGAGGTGAGGCCGTGCCTCTAGTATTTTGTCATTGCAAAGCCGGGGCCCCGGCCAGCCCGTGGTCGGTGTTGGTTTAGTACTAGTTAGGGGTCAATGAATGAAGACAGGAACGCTTTCTCCTGGATTCAGTGGTGGTTGCCTGCTGGGCTGGGTCAGCTGGACGCTGTTGTTATTAAAACCTGGTGTTTCCTCCATATTACAATGCAAGAAACTAAAGTTTAGAGATAAAATAACTGGCCGATAAGTGTCAAAGTCAAGAGAGCAGGCACGATGGAGCAGCCGTGAGACACTTGAATTCTTTACTAGTAGGAACCGCTCCCAAATGGACAGCTAGCAGATTCTTCTAGACCCCCAGGCCCCAGGAGATGATTTCTATGACACAGTTCGCTGAAGTCACCATTTGCGTTTCCGCAGGTCGCCGACATGATCAGGTCAACAACAGCGCTGTTTAACCAAGTGTTCTAGGGGCAGCAGATCATGTGAGGTCTGGAACATTCATTAAGCACACAGATTTCCATGTTCTCCGCCTACATAATGCTTCCGGTGAAGAGTTAGTCTCGGGAACTCCCAGGGCCAGTTGTACCCTGCCCTACAGGGTCACGGCGAGTTTATGTTGTTTCAAAGTTTATGAAGCACTTTCGAGTGGTTCTTCATACTTACCCTTTGAGGTAAGTGTTATTGACCACATTTTAGAAGTGAGACATCCAAACCCCAGATGAAATGACTAGTGAAGGGCTGTCTCCTAATAAGAAGTGGACCTGGAACTTTAGTCAGCACCCTAAGACAAGTTATGCTTCCTGTTTGGTCCTCTCCCCTCCCCACTTCCTGTCTTTGTTTTTTCCTAGTTCTTCTTGCTCACTCCCTGCCCATTCTTCCTTCCACTCTTACCACCCAGGGAATCCCTGTTTAGAGATTAACCACTAATCATGTGTTGACTGTTGATGAATAGTGTTCGTTGGTATTAGCTCCTAATTGAAGTGTTCACTTAGAAAAGGGGAATCACCCCCAGGGTTGGAAAAATACAAAACAGAAAAACAACAACAACAAAAACAACTACCTGTCATGGAGTCAGTTCCAATTCACGCTGACCCTACAGGACAGAGTCGAAGTGCCCCTGTGGGTTTCTGAGAATAAACCTTTATGGGAGTAAAAGGCCTTTCTTTCTCCCATCTGAGGGGTAAAGAGGAATGTCAATGTTTTTGAGAAGGGCAGTTGTAATTCTTATCACCCTTGCTTATAGGATCAAGAGATAAAACTGCAGTATTCTCTGATAATCTGATTGAAAGAGCCCCTACCCCTTTATAAAAAATCTGATTGAAAATAACAAGTTGTCATACTATGTATATCTCAGGTTTTATAAAAGCCACGTTCTAATTTTGTTCTCCCAACCACGCCATTGAATCATGTAGATCAGACTCCTGGAACATCGAGGACCTAAATAATGTGGTCAAGCCTGTGTTGGCTTGGGGACAGATCTTTACTTAGAAGCAAACCTGATCCGCCCTGGCAGGATAGCCTGAACTGTGGGCACAGGGTCAGCTGTGGAGCAGACAATCCACTCTTGCTTTTCCCTTGATTCTGTAGGTGGCTATAAAGGGAGGCCACGTACTCAACCCTCACCCCCCACCCCCGCGAGAGTGAGCCAGGGGGTTCTTATCTCTCTCTTAAGGTAGGGGCATACCGTACTCCAGTATAAGCTGACCCGAATGTCGGCTGAGGCACCTAATTTTACCACAAAAACTGCATAAAGATGTGCTGAAAAACTTGGCTTGTACACGAGTATATACGGTACCTAGGCTGTTGTGAATTTCTTTCTTCCTGTTAACGGTCACTATGAGTTGGCATCGACTTGCTGGCAGTGAGTTTGGGTTTTTGGTTTGATGCAACCTTCCTCTTTTGTTCATCGCCCACACTGCCCCAGAGTTCAGTCTAAATGGATACTTGGTCATGCCATTCTAGCCTCAGAACCCTCGAGGTGGCTCCCTGTTAAGGGACAAATGACCTTACTTCATAAGACATCAAAGTCTCCTAACATGTGACTCTGCCGAGCCTGCCAGCTCCTACGTGCTACGTCACCGCAGTCGTACTGAGCTCCATGTAGCCCCACAGCTCATCGTGCCCCTGGCTAGCCCACTCTTCAGTATAAGATTCAGCTTAGTCAACAAACACTTACTGAGCGCTTCTGATGTACCAAGAAGCCCGATGGTCACAATAGAGTGCTCAGCTGCTGACCAAAAGGTCAGTAGCGTGGACTCACCAGCTGCTTCTCAGGAGAGCGATGTGGCAATGTCTTTCTTTCTTTTTTTTTTTTTAAATAAAAAAAATCCTTTTCTTGGGGGCTCATACAACTCTTATCACAATCCATCCATCCATCCATCGTGTCAAGCACATTTGTACATTTGCTGCCATCATCATTCTCAAAACATTTACTTTCTACTTGAGCCCTTGATATCAGCTCCTCATTTCACATGCCCCCAATTGACTCTTGATAATTTATAAATTTTTATTATTTTATCATGTCTTACACTGTCTGATGTCTCCTTTCACCCACTTTTCTGTTGTCCCGACCCCCAGGGAGGAGGTTATATGTAGATCCTTGTAATCAGTTCCTCCTTTCTACCCCACCTTCCCTCCACCCTCCCTGTATTGCCACTCTCACCTCTGGTCCTGAGGGGTTCATCTGTCCTGGATTCCCTGTGTTTCCAGTTCCTAACTGTATCAGTGTACATCCTCTGGTCCAGCCGGATTTGTAAGGTAGGATTGGGATCATGATATTGGGGAGGAGAGGGGAGGAGGAAGCATTAAAGAACTAGAGGAAAGTTGTATGTTTCATCGTTGCTACACTGCACCCTGACTGGCTCGTCTCCTCCTCGTGACCCTTCTGTAAGGGGATGTCCAGTGGACTACAGTTGGACTTTGGATCCCCACTCTGCACTCCCCCTCATTCACAATGATAGGATTTTTTGTTTTTTGATGCCTGGTACCAAATCCCTTCAACACCTTGTGATCACACAGGCTGGTGTGCTTCTTCCATGTGGGCGTGGCAATGTATTTCTGTAATGATTTACAGCCGTGCAAACCCTATGGGAATGTTCTACTCTGATATAAGGTGCTATCAACTCAATTAAAAAAAAAAAAGAAAAGCCCTCCTTTCCATTGAGTCGGTTCTGACTCAGCCACCTGGAGGACAGGGTAGAGATACCCTTTGGGTTTCCGAGACCAAAAGTCACTCTTTATAGAAGTAGAAAGCCTCATCTTTCCCCTGTAGAGTGGCTGGTGCTTTCGAACTGCTGACCTTGCAGTTAGCTACCCAATGTAGAACTACTGTGCCACAAAGGCTCCTAATCAACTCAACAGTAGTGGGCTTTACCTTTTTTTTTTTTATTTAAGTTTTCATATACTTTATCTCTGAGAAACAAAAAGAAATAAAATCTTCCTACCTGAGTTTCCAACCTGAGAACATTTTTTTTGAGAACATTTTACACTCTGCACTTCACCCATGGGTGCCCCACAAGAATGACTCTGTGCTTTAAGAAGACATCAGCACCTTGAACCCAGAGCCATGTTGGTGTTACTGGATGCCCATTGGCCCCTGGGAGGGGCTCTTTCCATTAGTGGCACACAGACAGTTGAGCACCAGCCATGAGTCTCCTCTTCTGCTAGGGTAGCATGCCCTAGCTCTGTCTGGAAAGGGCCCTGGTTGGCACAGGCAAGGTATGGAGGGGCCCAGGTGGTGCCAGGAAGGCTTGGAAGGTGAAATGAGGGTGTAAGTAGTGAAACATGAGAACTGGACAGCTCGCGAGGTTAGGCAGGAGGTGCTAGGGTCTCACCCTTCTAAGATTAAAGGCTGAATCAGGTCTGGGTTCAACAAGAGGCCAGTCCACGTGGAAGTCATAGACGTGTGTGTGTGTGTGTGTGTGTGTGTGTGTGTGTGTGTGTGTGTGTGTGTGTGTGGTGGGGGGTACCTTAGGGGCAAGTCTTCCTGGGTGCTGGGGAATCGGCAGCTCCGAGGGGTGGGCCGGCAGGGGAAATGTGACGTATACTGGTGCAGAAGAGCCTGGGAGGCTATGATACCTTGTTGAGGAGGGAACTGACCCAGCAGGTCCAAGGCTTGAGGAGAGGCATCAGGCAGCATCTCTTCCAGGGGCTCAGGTGACTGCTCCCTCAAGGAGATCTTGTAGTTGGGCAGCTCAGTGATCTCCGGTCAGACTTGAGGGCTCGGAGTGCCCACGATACGAAGCACACAACAGAGCTGTTTTATGTCATTTTCCCCAGGGAACAGAGGAGACCCATTCAACAGTTCTCCCATGGTGCAGCCCACAGAACTGAGCTCGGTGAGGGAGCGAGCTGTGTGTCCTGCAGGAGAAGAGCAGCCCAGGCAGAGGGTGGAAGTGAAGGAGACAGAAGCTGACTTGCCTTAGTTATTTCCCTCTTCTCAGAAAGTTCCCTACGGCTTTGAGCTCTATGTGTTCTTGTGCTTACCGTGAAAGTAGCACCGAGGGCTCCAGAGTTGTCATAAATGTGTGTGTCTGTCTCCCTCACTAGGATGGGTTTCTTGAGGGCAGGGACTTCTGATTCTTTTCTGTCTCCTCTGCACTGAGTTCTCAAGAAACATTTATTGACCGAATAAGGCCTTGGGCGCCTAGTTATTACAGCCCGATGCCTTTCACAGAGTCTGTGTAAGATGGGACTTGGAGGGCACATGGTTTGGGGAGGTCAAAGGAATTCCAAACCCGGGTCTGTGCGTCATTGGCTTGATTCCCTTTTGGGGCCTCTGAGAAGTGATTTTCTTTCTTAAAAAGTACCTAAAAAGGAACATCTTCAACAGGAGTGCAGGCTAACTCACCTGTAAAATAATGGATTCAGTAAAACAAAAGTCTTCAGAGCTGAATTTGTAAGAAAGTAAGAGAAATCTTTTGGGGCTTAAGAACCAAGAGCAGACTGAAAACCAGAGTAGTCCTTCCTGTGATCTGGCCTCCGCTACCCTGAGCAGAGTCTGCTGGTCTCTGTGACCTGAAGCTGGGCATGAGCAGGCCTGCCCTCGCAGCACCTGGGCCCTGGGCACCCTGGGCTTGCACTGCAGCCGAACAGGTTCTGCATGAAGCTTGATCCCTTGAAAGCCTATACCCTCTGACATCGCAAGGGGACACGGAAGCTTGCCTCAGCCTAGTTTCTAGTACAGGGGTGTGTTAGTCTGGGTACTTTAGGGAAACAAATGCACAGAAACTCATGTATAAGAGAGAGTTTTATATAAAGGGTAAGTGCACATCAAGAAAACATCCCAACCCAATGCTGCCCAAGCCCACAAGTCCAACATTAGCTCATATGTCCAACACCAATCCACAAAGTCCTCCTCCATCTCACAAAACACACACTATGACACCGACTGCAGGAGGAAAGCCGAATCAGTGAACGTGTAAGCATCTCAGCGCTGGCAGGGGTCTCCACACAGCTGCATCGGGCTAGGTCCATGTGGCTTCTCTCAGGAATGTCATGCAGGAAGTGAGCCTTGCCAGCTGAAGCAGGGAACTGGCTAAGGCAGCTGCACCCTGGTCTGACCATCAGAAAGCAAGAGACCAGAGAACTAGAAAGGCCAGGATCACCGAGCCATTTATCCCTCTGCCCTTCAATTAACCCCAAGTGTTTATCAGCCAGGTTGGCACAATAAACTAACTACCTCAAGGGGAAACACTTTCCCTTGTGAATTCCTAGCCACAGGCATTCCCTCTATGGATTTGTGTTCATATTTCCATGTCCAGAATGGTCTAGAAACCCCAAACCAAGAATCTGGAGACCCAAAGCCCATCTGTGGACAGTTGGACAGCCCCTCACAGAAGTGTCACAGGAAGGAACAAGTCAGCCAGGGTGTAGTATAGCACCGACAAAACACACAACATTCCTCCAGTTCTTGAATGCATTACTTGCCCCCTCCCCCCCATTCAGCCTTAAAAATCATGATCCTTGTTCTACCTTAAAAATCTGCCTAGACCAGAGCATGTACACTGGTACAGATAAGAGCTCTCGACACATGGACTCCAGGACAGATCAACCCCTCAGGAACAGTAATGGGAGTAGCAATACTGTGAGGGGAGAAGGGGGAGAAAGGGGGAACTGATAGAAATGAATGGCCTATTAACACCCCCCTGGGGGTGGGGACAAACAACAGAAATGTGGGTGAAAGGAAACAGTGGACGGTGTAAGATATGAAAATAATAATAATTTATAATTATCAGGGGTCCACAAGGGTGGAGGAGGGAGGGCAAAAAAAGGAGCTGATACCGAGGGCTTGAGTAGAAAGAAAAAGCTTTAAAAATGATGATGGCAACATATGTACAAATGTGTTTGATACAATTGATGTATGGATGGTTATAAGAGCTGTAAGCCCCCAATAAAATGACTTAAAAAAAGAACCACTCCAGGCTGGTACTACGCCTGGAGGGCTTGGCAGAAGCCAGTGCCGACCCTCGGGGGTGACACAGGCTCCCAGAGCTCCTGCAGAAGCAGGTGACTGGTCTCTAAATGAGACTGTGCTCTGCTCGCCTTGTGCCACCACTGTGATCCTGGCTGACTAAAGGAGACATTTGAATCCTCTGTGCCTCTGGTGCGATTTGCAGAGGTGAGGTTTTGTGTGCAACCTGATGTCGGGGGATGGACACATACTTAGCTGCCTCTTGTCCTTACAGAGGCCATGGAAGACGTGACGCCGTGCTCCCTCAGCCGCCCTCTGTTCCAGCAGGAAGAGAAGAACGGGGTCACCTACAGGATCCCAGCCCTGCTCTACGTGCCCCCTGCCAGCACCTTCCTGGCCTTTGCAGAGAAACGCTCCACCGCCAGGGATGAGGATGCACTCCACCTGGTGCTGCGGAGAGGGTTGAGGACCGGGCACTTAGTACAGGTGACTCTCGGCTCCCCGCTGTCTGGGCCTTTGCCTATCAGTGCTGGAGAGGAGGAGGGGAATGCAGGGGAAACAAAAAA